AGCTTATTCAGGTGTAGAAAAAATTTTAAATTCGTGCAGTTTTTCCATAATACACATTTTCCACTAACTTCTTAAAGATCTCTTATATTTTCTATGTGATATGCTCAAAGTTAGCAGCTCAATTTGCCTCTCATCCTAAATTTTAAAGTGAATAAATCCAGCAATATATAGTAGAGGTAGAACGGTTTTCTGACTAATGCATGTCCGTGACATACCAGGCATGAATTTTTCCAAAATTACCCAGAATATTTCTATTGCAAAATAACTTCTTCTTGAGGGAAAGATGAAACATTGTAACATGATTCATATGTGAATGGAATGGAAAACTGCTGGACTTACAAATCATATATAATAAATTTACACACTGGTGAACCAATCCTTATAGAAAATCTTTTTTGCTTTCTTGCTTTCTTCTCTGAAAGGAGTTATAACAAATCCCATTACAAAATATTTTCAAATTTAAAAGAGAGTTCCTCTAATGTCTAGAAACCGTCTCTCATTTATTTATAATTTATTAACTTAATAATACATAGATATAGGGGCTGGCGAGCAGCATGGTGGTTAAGTGCGCTGGACTCCCACATGGCCGACTGTGGTTCGAGTCCCGGACCTGGCAGCTTGATCTCTCTCTCTCTCTCCTTCTCCCTCCCTCCCTCTCAGGTCAAATTAAAAATTAACTAATTAATTAATTTAAAAATAAATAGAGTTAGATAAAGTAATTCTTTAAAAAAAAACACAAAGATTTAAAACATTTATTTATGTGCCCAGAAGTTTAACTATTATTATGTAAACTCATCCAACTGCTTTTCCCTTTATCAGAGAGAATGAGAAAGAGCCATAGATAGGCATTTTTGACAGGGCCTCTCTATGTCACAATCCTTGTGCTCCAGCCTCCCAATTAGCTAGGATTACATCTTCACACAGGTGTCACACCCAGCATGTTCAGGTCAACCCAGAAACTGAACCCAGGCCTCCCATGCACCTAGGCCTCATTCATTTTTTCAAATGATTACACAGGAGAAAAAAAATATACTGACAGTCCTGACAGAATCCTTTCTAAGATAGCCCCCTATCCTTTACTCCTATTATAATTTCATAAATAATTCTATGTTCAAAATAAAGAAAAAATTGACTTAACTTTTGAGCAAAACACAAAAATTCAACCAACCTAACTTTCACCATTTCAGGGAAAACAATGATCACAAAACAACACATTGACTAATCCTCACATAAATGAACATTATCAAAAGAGAAAGAACATGCAAACAAAAACCCAAGATAGATTGCACAGTAAAAAATCAGAGGAGTTTAATTCTGCCATTTCTTCTGAACAAAGGCTTAGCTACCTAATCATAGCATGATAATCACTGTCACTGCCACCATAAGAAACTGTTGGGATATTAACATTACTAAAGACATAAAAATATTTACAAAGGCAGTTGAAGTTATCCTTTCCTCTCCCTTTGGCTCCTTCTGTATTTGTAATTTGGTCAGATTAAGATATTGAATTTCTCTTGCCTGTTTTCTGTCCACACTCAAAGGCAAACAAAAACAAAAACAAAAACAAAACTCCAATGATAACCTTAAGAATTCTAGGATGAGGATCCCAATGTAGATGGTTTCCCCAGGTACACCAGAATAAGATGCGTGTGGGGTATCTGTGGACGCCGTGATCGGCAACGATGTGGCCCAGTGCCTTGTTCAGAAACATGCGAGGAGCTAACGTGAGATAGGAGCACTACCTCTTTCATTTTCTAAAAGGTAAAGGAACCATTCACGTTAGAGTGTAAATGTAAAACACAGTGTTAATGTAAGAATTATAAGTGGTGTAAAGACTATTAAAAAAGAAAAAACAATGTATATTTTTCATTATGATTAAGCCATTAAAAGAAATGTAGTTTTCTCTCATTCTCAATTTTATTTTCTAAAATAAGACCTAAGAGGGGGAATAGAAATTATTTCATTCTAAATCACTAAAGATAATCTATCTAAAATTATTCTATTTGATCTAAAATCATTCTTAAATGTCTTAACAGATTTATGTAAACTTGGCAGGTAAGAAACTATTCTCTTCTCCATATAAATACTACAAAAAGTGAAACTGTAAATTAAAAAAAATTCTCATGAGAACATTTGTTTAGATAAATTATATAATCATAGAATAGAATTAAAATGTTAAATGTAACTTGACATATGTATATTGTAATTCTTTAAAATTAATATTATATAAAGACTTTACGAGTGAGGGATATCAATATGGACTACTTATTGGCCATCTGTTATGTATATTTTTTGATAAGCAATTCCAAAATAACAGTAGCTTAAATACAATACTAAGTGTATGCTAAGAGTGCAATAAATACTGTTAACTATTTGTAATAGTGAAAGCAAGTTTAAAAATTCATGCTAAAATTATTTCTCTTAACTTTTTATATTTAAAAATGGATGTTATCCATGCATTATTTTACATGGTTATTCAAATCTAAATATCCTAGTTAAATTAACCCACAGGACACATAATACCAGGGAAGTCTAAAGTGACTAAAATACCAAAAATGGCCTGCATAGTTTCCTTGTTACAAGCTTATTTGTTATTAAACATAAAGATACTTTTTAAACTGACTCACCTGAAAATGTATAAATTTTAAAAACTAAACCAATTTCATGAAGATTAAAAAATTCACAGAAATCCTGATATACCAAAAGCAAAACCTAGCTAAGTATAAATGCTGCAACCTGAAACCAATAAAAAATTTCACAAGAAATTTATATTTCATTTTAAGAAGAATTATAAAAATTTCATTTCCATCTAAAATACATATATTACCCTACAACTGGAAGTACAATAAACATATTTATTTGGCATAATGTTTTATTTCAGAACAATAAATAAAAAACATTCTCAGGTTGAAGGCTAAATATCATGGAAAAATAGTAAAACCTATTAAAACAAAGGAGCTCTTATAAACAACATGGAAGAAGTTGTCAAATTTATATTCATTTTGCTGCCTTAATTTGAGGTTTCATTAAGATCTTAATGGAAAAAACATGCACCACTGGTAAACTAACGCATTTTAAAGGAGGACCTTTTAGTCTAGTATAAGTGACTAAAAACGAGGTTCTTGTGAGCTAACGATGGCATCAAACAGACCACAAAGCAGTCTTCTAAAAGACAGGCCATGATTTAGAAGTCTACTATATTTCATATATCCCTTTCTTTAATCTGGCTCTTTTAATCTTGTTTCAACCCCAAATCATTTCTGGTTGACAAGTGCTTTTGCTTAAATGTGAGGAGCACATAAGTTGTTGAAGGAATGGACTTTTCTTGTTTAACATACAACATTTGTTACTCCATTTTTACTTCTATGAGAAAACTTCAATCTTTATTAACATACTAAAGCTCTTTCCTTTGTACTTAGAATGAGAAACTTATTCTAAACTCATTCTTTAATTCTAAGTTCAGTCTACAAAGAAATTCTGTTATATGAATGTGGTATTTAAAATTCACTTTTCATGATAAGCTCTTAAGAAAGATCCACGTATCTTCTTTGGTTTTAGAAGAAATGTGGTTAACAAAACGAAAATCAACTTCCAAGAGATTTACATTTACGTATATCCTGAATTTATTTAGAATAGTTTTGCAAACTGTGTCCTAATTATGATGCTGCATTTCATAGAGAAACATTCTGTGATTTGTTTTATGTTACCCATTCTTAGATAACAATGATATTTTCAGATGTTCCTGTTGCATATTAACACTGAAATTATATCAAATAATTCAACCTTAAGGAACTATTTAAACTTCTTTCTATCCAAGAGAAAAAGGTCGAAATGTGTTTTCAAGAATAATGGGACAGAACAACTCCCCGTGGTAATTATGACAGTTACATAGATAGGGATAACACTCTTTGAGGCATTCTAATTAAATGAGTAAAATAGATATTGCTAACATTTCCCAAGACTTTCTTTTGGCTCACACATTCCTCAAATTAAAAAAAGATCTAATTTAAAGAAACCTGTTTTCAAACACAATATTTTTCCTTTAAACTAGAACACAAATAGTGTAATAGCAGCTAACACTGAGCATTTACTACACACCAGACACTTACTTACATACATGTATATATATTTTTTCAATTCATTTAATATATTTAATGAACCCATGAGGTAGGTGCTGCTGCTGATTTCATTTACCAGATAAACAAGAAACAGAGTTTTTAGAATATCACCTAAAAACATATAACTAGTAAGTATGTGAGCTGGGAATTTAACACCTAGGCAGTCTGATTCTGGAGCATTGACTCAACATCTAAACATTTTATGTCAGATTTTTGCTATAACTTATTTTAAATCATTACATAAAAGCATTAAATATACTCTTTTTTCTGTGATAGTCATATCTAATACTGACAAAGCTGCAATCTATGATGTTACTCACAGGTGTAAATCGTTCAAAATAAATTGAGAATTTTCATGTGAAATACACATTTCCTCATCACATAGCTCCTTAAATACCTAAACTAGTCCCCAGACAGAACTGACTGATATCCCTTTAGGACTACATAAAATGTAATAAAAACTTTATGGTGCATTTTGGTATACTTTAAATATATTCATATTTCAAAATAAATCATGTCCTCAAATATTAAGCATGATATCCAGAGAACTTCTATCATTATATTACTCAAAGCTTTAAACATGTGTTAGCCTTTGTCTTGTAATTTCGATTGTAATAACTGTAATTATGAGACAGTGCTTTGGTTTTCTTTTTTCAAAATATTCATTTGTTTCTTTAAAAAAAAACTTTACAAGGAACAAAATGAAATCAAGAAAACTTTTTTAAAGTTTAAATATCAACATTCATGTCCCAACTACAAATTATTAATTTGGTTCATCTCTCTGTGATCAGGCCATGCAACTGAAAACAAAGCTACAAAACAGAGTTACTTTTTCAGAGTACAGCAAATGAATTAGGCATGCGGGACTGAACTGGAACTCACCATGGAGCTTTTATGGAAAAACATCCCGCTCCAAAGAGATAAGGCCTTCATGGAAAAGGGGGGAAAATGCACAAAAAATTAGGAAAACTCATTTAATGTCAACAAACACATGAACATCATACTGTTATAGAGTATGGATAAAAATAACTACAAAATTAGTACTCATTTGTAATCCCACATTCTGATAAAAACCAATAAACAGAATGATGTGTAGTCATAAGGCTCTTAATTTTCAGTTAGGAATTTCAAAATTTTCTATTTCTCCCCCTTTTCTAGAGCACACCTACAGCATTTCTAAGTCAAAATAAAATGCAATTCAGTGCTGAAGCCCTTTTAAATAAAGTACAAGTTAATGGAATAATCACAAAAGAGTGAGATCAGTAGCAACCAATGTATTGTTGTCTGACCTGAAATGTTTAAAATGAGCTAATGATAGCAAAAAAAAAAAAATTGATATGACAGCATTTGCTATCCATTGGTGCATTGGTGTCTCAGAGCCACAGAAAGAAAGCACATATTTTTATTTGCAGTAAATAGAACTAAAAATTGGTTTTGGTCACATTCCAGGAAATAAGGTTAGCATCTGACATTTTGAAGAAATAAATGCAAAAAGAAAGCACATTGCATATGTCCTTCTTTAAATCTGGTACGAGGAATACATAAAATATTCTACTAATTAGCATTAATTTCCCAATTAATTGAGTCTATTTGACCATAAACTGAAACTTAAGGAAAATGGTTTTCTAACAGTGAGTGCAATTCTGAGGCTTGGAGTACATCAGACACAAAGAAGTAAACAAGAGACATGGAAGAGGCAGTAAGTAGAAGAAAGTGAGGCAGAAGGAAAAAATAAGACATTGGAAAGTAAAAAGAAACGTTAGAAATGTTGACAATGCTCAGCAAGGATAGCACTCTCATAATTAGTTAGTGGTAAGAACACAACCAGAGATATGATGTTATCAACCACGATTAAAATAGCGTACATAACACTTTTTTGACTGTGACCCACATTGTAAGGTACAAGCTAGTATGTTCATGACACACACACAAGTAAGATTGAAATACCAATTTAATGAATGTGTTTTTTATTTCATTGATTTGTCCTATTGCCTATTTCCATATTTTGTAAACAGTAATTCTGAGATTTTGTGACAAAGCAGATAGATGTGTATGCTGCGGATAAAGCTCTGACACTGAAGGTCTGACTGGGGTCTGAGATTCTCTATTATCAAGTTCCCAGGTAATGCCAGTACTGCTGGTCTGCAGAGCCATTAGCAAAATAGCACTTTATTCTATCCTATTTCATTAGAGAAAAAAAAGTTGGTTAAATTCCCCTTCTCTGATTTCACAACTGATTAATTATGTTAAAAACACAGATTAAATAACTGAGGCCACTTGAAGAGTCCAACTTAATAGTGACAGTGATCCCATGCAGAAATGATCAGAAAATGGAAGTGTGAATCAATTTCAGTATGCCCACAAGTACCTCTAAAATAAAGTGGTTTTTACTGGCATACAAGATCTAACTTCTCTCTCTCTCTCTCTCTCTCAAAGAGATGTTTTTGCTATAAAGATGCATGCACTCACTGGAGGGACAGAGAGACAGAAAGCAAGAAATCACCCCCCATGGGGGATGGCCGTGCCGCAATCCCTTCTTTTCCAGTCTCTTCTGGGGATTTTGTGCATGCACACACACGTGCTCAGCATGAGTTCTAAGCCACTGGATCCAGGACTCAAACCATGGTGGACTACGTGGGAGTCCAGTGACATAATCATGATACCATCTGTTGGTTCCCTAACTTCTCTGAATTTCACTTCAGTGGGAGCACATCTGAAATAACCAAAGAGTTCATATGATTCTCATAGAGTATTTGGAACGTCCAAGCTCAAGTTGCTTTTCAGTATATGCTATACCTATTATGAATACTCTCCTAACTCCAAATATCAAAGCATGGGCTATTTAAAGAATTTTCAAGTTTTTCCTTGTTCACTGATGACATAAGAAATTTCTTCAAGAACACCAAAAAAACAAACAATCAAAAATAAAACAAAACCTCCAGGTCTCTGCATTTCAACAGACCACCTGATATTTCCCACCTATAGAATCAGTAAATATATCTTCCAGGTTTAAGTTTCCTTATATACAAGGAGACATGTTGGCTAAACAAATGATGCAGAAACTTTAAAAAGACATTGCCGAGATTTTCCTTTCCAGGCAGTAATGTGTTACCAATAAGGCCTACTTCAATCAAATAAGGATCCTCTGGTTAGCATAGCTCAAGCAGAAAGAAGAGGGTGAGAACCTGGTTTAGAACGTATGCTTGGCACGGATCCTGTCTACAGTCACTCCCTTCTTGTGCAGTCCCACAAAATGGATCTCTGCCACGTACACGTGAAAGAAGATCCACAAACTTCCAAGTATGGTGGCTGACGTAATTACTGACTCTGTATGGGCAGTGTCAGCTGTTCTTTTGAAATGTACCTGCTTCATCTTTCCTCAGTAGCAAAAGAATGAAAATACGAGTCCATGATCCAGCTGTGACTTTCTTTTCTCCCTTCTGAGAGTCCACAGCTGTAGTTTCGCATTGGAGTGTGATGAGAGTGGGGAAAAGTGGAAAGAGGATGAGTTGGGAGGTATATCAGAATTTAAAAATTGTTTAATTAACTAAAGATTGTTAATTTACATAGGCAACTCTAACTACTATATTCAGGAAGAATTAATGTTTTATAATCACTAAGTTTTAGCTGGCTTAACAATCCTGCCATATATAAAAACTGTTTAATTCACAAACTGAATTCTGATAGAAAAACCTTAGGAAGAACTGGTCAGAGACTGAAAATCCAGAAATATTTACTATAGACTTATTTGTAGAGCACCAAGAAATATTTGTTTTAAAAAGTTAGTACTAGAGAGTCAGAAGATAGAAAGGAGCTGGGTTTTGTAACATGCCATTAATGCCACAAGTCATAAAATTCTGAATCATTTTGTTGATTGTCACACAGTATCACAAAGACTCAGGTCTTCCTTACTAGCTGAAAATGAGATAAATGGAAAGATTTTTTTAAATCGTGAGAAAAAAGTAAAACTAGATTGCACTTGAACATGCTCAAATCCACTATAAACTGATTCTAATGCTAAAAGATATTAATAATGGTTCTGTTCAATCACCATCAAAGTACCTAGAGTCTAAGAGACGAATTCTATAAACATACTCTACATAAATTCTATTTATCAAATGATCATGTGTCAGGGCACTGCCATATAACAGACATCAGAATGATGTGAAGTCATTATTCTTCAAAAATAAATCCTAGGGATTTTCCTGACACCTATAGTCTGTGTGCGTTCATTTAAGCTGCAACTTTAGCACATGTATATGAGTAGATTATTCCTAGTGCCCTTTTCGATCTTTACTTTGAATTTTTCACTGATTCTAACGGCTCACTACCAAAGAGACCTGTGGCCCTGTTGGTTTTCAAAACACTGATCTATAGGGCAAAATAAGGCTGAAACAGAGAAATGTCATTTTCAAGATATATTCGACTTGCAAATTTTAATTACAAATGCAAAGACCCAAGCTTGGTGGCATGTACCTGTAGTCACAGCTCCTTGTTAGGAATACCACACACAAATATACAGCACCCCCCTTCCAAGGAAAAAAGTACAAACAGAAGAAGTAAAATATTTTTATTAGAGAAACACAATGTTCAAATTCTGCCATTTTTGCTGTAGAGACTATCATAGCATAAATAATGTCAAAAATTCTCTAAAAAGATATAACTGCTGCCTTTTAATATATCACATAGTGGAGACCAGCAGGTAGTGTGGTGATTAAGGTGCTGGATTCCTGCATGGTTGATTGTGGTTCGAGTCTCAGAACCAGAGGCCCAAGAGGAAAATGGAGAAGGGATTGTGGCATGGCCATTACCCTGGGGGGGGGGTGGTGACTTCTCACTTTTCCTCTC